CGACAATCTGCACTTATGTTGGAGTGGCTTGGACAGCAATTGTTAATTCATTGTCTAAATGTTGTAGTTGGACCAATGCTTTGATTAGAGGAGATCATTCACCGCTCCCCCCACACCCCCCTTTCTCTTCTTCCTCACACTGCTGTTAACAGATTAAAGTTTTTGAAAGTCAACTGGTGGGTTTCTTCTCATTACATTGTGCTTGTGCTTCCACGCCCCTGCAACCTGGTCCGCCACAACAACCATCCAGCAACCTGAACCTCTCAAAATGTTACCATCTTAGTTAACTTCTTCACAAGAATAACCGACACCTATCTCAAAGACGTCCCAAACAACCATACTCTGTCTCCAAATTCACCTCCACATCCTCAACTTTCTCTTAGTCATCCTACCCTTACCAAGTTACCATGGAACCTCCCAAATCCATGATCTATAATGAACAATCCTACTCAAACTTGAACGACACTAGGCCAATCCACCCTCCATCAACCACGAGACCTCATTTTCAGACCATTGTACTTGGCTAGAATTCACATTCACAAATGGTTCTTTCATAGGACACAGCCCCATACGATGTTGCTTGGGAAATTCTAAATTTTAGTTAGATAAGTTGGAATTCCATTAGCTCACCTGATTTTAATGTTCCCACAACACCAAAAGGCAATATTCTTGTAAGGTAATCACTTCACTGCAATGGATTGGTTTAATCCTAATGTCTAACCACATTAGCTATTGAACGAGCCACATTCTTATGCAGAAATTCGACAAAACGCCCGTTGTTTTTGAAGTTCACGGCGCTAGCGTCGTGGGGCTCTATTTTTAGAACAAGGGTGAAGAAGGTTTTACAAGATGGATCTAATTGCTTCAAATGCTGGTAACATCAAAATATACTCGAGAGAAAGTTCTCCTAAAAAATTGGCAAGGAATTCAGTCAAATATTACTGGTTTAATGTCTCAGCTGCTCAAGAAGTAGGACTAGCTACTGGTCCTATTCAGAATGAATTCTGGGGATGTCCACCTTTGCATTGAGAAGATGTTTGTCCCAATGAGAGGCTTTGCAATGCTCAACCTCACTAGCTAATCTAACTCTCTTTGTAATGAATAATAAGCAACTTAGAACCCAAAAGGAGTCAAATTATGCTTTTACTCCCTCACCTATGTCCCATGCTCACATTATCCCATCAACTACTATTCCGTTGCATACATCGCATCTCTAACCGTGATTATTCCCTTCACGTTATCCCAACTATACATGTTCATTACAAATTAGATGAAAATTTGTATCAGTTCGTCTTTGAATCTTATGACATGTGGACATTATTTTTGTTCAAATAATTTTATTGTAATGTGAAACCAATTAAATGGTTGATGGAACAATATAAAAAATTTAATAAACGGACTAAAATGATTCCGGACCATAGTTTAAAGATGCAAAATATGTCACTCCTTGTTAACTTTAGATGAGCAAGGCCAAGCATCCAATAAGGCTAAACATGTTTGTAGGCAAAATCAACCTATTTACCAAATAAGACAATAGACTCGTTTGAGCTAGCTTAAATAAATAGTTTTTAAGAATTTTGCGTAAAATAAATCATGTTCATTTGACTTTGATTTTTTAACAGCTTATACAACATTTTTTTATACCGAAAAAGACTTATTTAAGTTAATTCAAGAAGTTGATTTTATGAGTTTTTTTTTTTTTTGATTTTTTGGAATTTTGTCACGAGTCCCACATCAATTTTTAGTTTATTATGTTCATAAAATATTATTAGTGGTGTGAAAAAATTTGAAATTCATATTTTGGGAACTATTATACATAATATCTACATACATGTAGTTATTTTTTAATTTTGACAAAAAGGTAGAAAGTCACTACAAATGGATTTTTTTAATTTTTTTCAAATTTTTAAAGAATACCCCAAACGATTTTAGTGAATTTTTTTAATTCGGGTTTTTTTTGCAAAACTTTTCTAAAAAACAACAACTTTTTACCTAAAAAGGAGTATTGTTAGAGTATTTTAAACAAAAGAGTGTTTTTTATGTGAGAATTCAATACTACATCGATTAAATTTTTAAAAGTACTAGAGTATATATATTCTAGTGTTATCCAGCTTTTGAGTTAAATTAAGACTTTGAGACTCTCACGTGCGCAGGAGTGAGACAAGCGGAGGAGATAATGAGTTTCTAATATTTTACGAAGCGCACCGACTAATCTAGTTCACACCCGAGTAACGGGTCTCCCTGACTTATTTAATTATTTTTTGTCATAACTCCTATATTAAAAATTCAATTTTTGAATAACAAATATTCTAATGGCTAGTTTTTCAACAATTATTATTTATTTAATTTTCATAGTTATTATCTGATTAAATATAAGATTACAGAATATAAACACCAATATTTTTTTTCTCTCTCTCTCTCTTTATATATATATATACATTTATTTACAAAATCAGTATAAAAATATATAATCTAAATATCTACTATATTCTTTTTTACTACATAAGTTTCTGGACAAAATTGAAAGGTGGTTCTTTTATAAAATGACGCGAATTATTTTAAGAGAGTGACTTAATCTGTGCCTCACTCTGTCATACACTTTATCTCTAAGATTCCATTTCCAATAATTTATTACCAAAAAAATCAGTTTCAAACTGACCAAGACCCAATATATATTGAAACTGCATGGTGTCAATGGGAAACTTTGTCATAATTAGTGCACAAGCCATCCTCCATATCGCGGGTTTGGGAGAGGCAACTGGTCGACAACCCCACCCACATCTTCTGAAAGACTTGTTCCTGCACTCAAATCTCTAACGTATTGCTTGTATGAAATAATTGAAAAAATATATTGAGAGTGTAATTATTAGCCATACAAGCTGAAAGTTAGAGGTTTGAAGATTAAGAGAGTGAACAGATGGGACATAAAAACTGAAATACAGGGACATAAAGACACCAATGGGCAGAAGAGCAAAAGCTACTCAGAGAGATCTTTTTCATCATGAGAGTCTCATACTATCCAAGCCAACACTACCCTGCACCCAAAGAATTTGTATTAACCAAAACTGAAAATCCTGACTATTATATCCATTAAACTTGACTTTGACTTGTTTAAATCCAGGTCTAATCATAGCTCTACGAACATGTTAGTCTATGGTAAACACGTTTTTATTAGAAAATAAAAGGAAAACACTCAAAATTTTAAGCTAATTTAGTATTGAAGATGGGCTTAATATATCATGTAATTTAGTGATTATTTGATGAAATTAATTTGAAATTCTGCCACCATCTTATTAAAATTAACATTAATGAAGTTTTTGAGATTGAATCAAATATCCAATTTTAATAAATTTGAATATTAACTTTGAAAATAAAATTTATTGAATTCATATTGAATCAAACAGACTAGTTATGAGACATATTCAATATACTGTAATACCAGTTCATCGGTCACACGTGTATCAATATATATATTTTTTTGTTTATCGATCAAGAATATTTGGATCAATTTATGCACATTTCGATTAATTCTCTTTTTAGTTTGATTGATCAAAGTCAAGTTATTCATACTAAGGGTATTCATGAGGATAAATATCTTATGAATTGATTCTAAGGGATTGACGAAAACGTTTGATTTTACAACTCGTCTTTGTTATTATTATCTTCCAAGATTACACGTATACCAACGCCACAAAAGCTTGTGTTAGGAAAATCCCACTTCTAATATTTTTTGGCTGTAATTTTTTATCTACTCGATCCTATCCTACCTTACTGAACGACTAGTCTCAAAAATCGGGTAGGAATGCAGAAGAGTTTTTTGTCTTCCGAGAATGAATGCAGAATACCCATCAATATTCGCATTCCTACCCTATCCTACTCGTAAAAAAATATATTTAAATTTTTTATATTTTTTTTTAGTAATTATAAGAGTATTTGTGTGGTATAATTTATATTATAACATTATTATTATTGTGGATGTTTGAATTGTGAAAATATGGACTTGTTTTTTGATCATGTGGTGAATTGGTGATCTATTGGAACAATTATGATTTTAATGTGTTTTATATAGTTTAAATTTAAAATAATTGTTATTGTATTTGTGTAACAATTATGATGAATAATATTCATATTTTTTTTTATGTTTTATTGTAATTGTTGTTATAGTTGTTTTAGGTTTTAATGTTTTTAATTTATTGTACTGTTAAATAGATGGATGTTATTGGGTTATTTGCACCGGTGGTCCCCAAACTATTCACGTTGTCTTATTTTGGTCCCCAACATTTCAATTGCATTAAATTGGTCCCCAAAGTATTCACGTTGATTTATTTTGGTCCCAACCACAGACGCCGTTTGCTTTTTGCCGGCTCCGTCTCCATGTGCCATTCACGTGAGGGGCAAAGTGGACATTGCACCCTACGTCTCCTGCTTAGCCAGTCAAAGGTTGTGATGAATTGACTCTTCACTTCCATTTTAACGACAACAATGGTGAGAACTCCAACTTAGGGCACAATGTCCAGTGTTCATCAGGGCAAACTACAAAAGTGATTAACTTTGTCCTCATCTTCTTTGAGTGGGAATCATATTATAAAGATGGTCCGTTGCATTAGGGAGGAGAAAGGGAATCAAGCAGGATCATACGATGTTTCCCATTACGGTATGTGGTGACTTTTTATTGTTTTGGGTTTCAGTTTCATGGGTGCAACTGAATATAAAATGGTCTTGATGCTGTCAAACAGATATTTTTATGCAAAACAAATTTTTTTTTTTGCAATATTTTATGGTTTATGTGGTTGCTGGAAACCACTTGTTTATGCAATATGAATTTTATAGTATGAATTTTATATTTACTTATTTTTGGAAACCATTAGGCCATGATTCTTCACTTTTCTCAATGGAGGTTCACCACAATGGTCAATTTATAGAGAGTCCAAACAAAGCTTATGTTGGGGGCAAAATAAATTACATAGATGACTGTGATTGTGAACTGATCGCTCATTGAAATGGATGATATAGCTTATACTCTTGGTTATGCTCCATATATTGGATTTTACTACAAACTTCCTAGGTTGGATTTGGACAAAGGGCTAGTACATATGAGTAGTGATGAACATGTATTGGATATGTCACATCATTTGCATAAAAACAGGGTAACTCAAATATATTTTAAACATATAGGAGGTATAAAATTACTGGAGAGTCAGACTGGATCATCTACAAGCAAAAACAATCATTCTGTTGATGGTGATCACCCAATTGATGACAATGGCATAGGGGACGGGGTAGCATCAGAATCTGAATGCAGTGAATATGAAGATTTGGTTGATAGTGATTATGAAAGTGAGTATGATAACATGTTGTATGAGAAATTGTGTTGATAATGAAACTGAATGGACTGGTTTGAAAAGTAACAGCCAAAAAACAACAGTAATAGACATAAGGCATGACTTAGACCTAAATGACTCAGATGGTGATTCTAAGGACATTGTAAGCAGTTGTAGTTCATTTGATAGAGAGACTGATGCAAGAAAAAAAACCAAAATTTGAAGTGTTTAGGGAAAACAAAAATAATGAAACCCAGAATTTAAGCTAGGTATGTTATTTGGTACATCTGAGGAGCTCAAGGCTGCTATTAGACAACATGCAATTAAAAATCAGAGAAATTTCAAGTTGGTCAAAAATGATAAGAGAAGGGTAATGGCACAATGTCAAGAGGGCTGTAGTTGGCTTGTTTATGCTTCTAGAGTGCATGGTGAGAAAACATATCAAATAAAGACATACATTAGCAAGCACACATATGGGAAGACTTACACTAATAGAAATGTGAACTCAAAGATGATTGCATTGAAGTATCTGGACGAGCTGAGAATCAACCCATGTTGGCCTATAAAAGCTTTTAAAAAGAGGGTTAGGCAAGATTTACATGTTGATGTAACAAAGAATCAATTATACAGAGCAAAGAAAAGGGCAATGCTATTGATACATGGGGGTGACATTAAACAGTATGGTAGATTATGGGATTATTCTGAGGAAATAAGGAGGGCTAATTCTGGTTTGACAGTTGTTTTAGATGCTCATGCAGATGAAGAAACAGGTAAACCTAGATTTCAAAGGTTATATATTTGTCTTGCAGCATGTAAGAGAGGATTTTTGGAAGGGTGCAGGAAAGTAGTTGGACTAGATGATTGCCACTTGAAAGGAGCCTACAGTGGACAGTTATTGACAGTAGTTGGTATTGATGCCAATGATTCTATGTTTTTTATTGCATACTGTGTTGTTGAGATTGAGATGAAAGAATCATGAGCATGATTCTTATCAATACTATCCACTGACTTGGGCATCAATCACCAGAACCAAAACCAATGGACCGTTATCATTGACAAGCAGAAGACACTTATTTTTTTATGTACTGATTTTTTTCCTCTTATTTAACAGGGTTTGCTTCCAGCACTGAGTGAGAGCCTACCTGGATCAGAACATAGGCATTGTGCTAGGCATCTGCTAAACAATTTCATGAGAAAGTTTAAGGGTTTGTGTATTAGGAAGAAATTTTGGAAATGTGCTAGGGCAACACACATTCCAGAATTTGACTTTGGGATGCAACTAGTTAAAGAAGATGATGAAAAGGCTTTTGAGTGGTTGGCCAATGAGCCACCAAGGTACCTGAGTAGGTCACATTTTAGAGTAGAACCAAAGTGTGACATTTTGTTAAACAATTTATGTGAGACCTTTAATGGGGCAATTGTGGAAGCAAGGGATAAGCCCATCTTGGAAATGCTAGAATGGATTAGATGCTACTTAATCCAAAGAATGGTAAGGAGGAGGGAATGTGCTAGGAGTTATAGTGGAAATATATGCCCTAAAATTCAGAAGAGGTTGGAGAAATGGAAAGGTGACATTTTTGGTTGTATTGTTGATTGGCATGGTGAGTTAAAATTTGAGGTGAGGGGTATGAATGAAGATCAATATTGTGTTGATTTGAAGGAGAAGACATGCTCATGCAGGAAATGGGACTTGACAAGAATCCCATGCCCACATGTCATTGCTTCTATTCAGAATAGGGGTCAACTGCCAGAAGATTATGTTACTAGACACTAGAAGAAAGGGGCATTTATGCAGGCATATGAACCACTTATCAACCCAATTAATGGACATTAGATGTGGCCTAAAAGTGGACTTACCCCAGTATTGCCTCATTTGAACAGAAGACAACCTGGTAGGCCAAAAAAATTACGGAGGAAGGAACCAGATGAGGTGAATAATAAACATCAGCCACATAAGTTGAGAAAAACTGGGCTGGTATCACTTAAGTGTAGGAGATATGGTAAGAATGGGCATAACAGGAGGACATGCACTACTGCATTGACAGAAGGAGAAGGACTACAAGCTGAAGGAAGCCAATCTAGAGAAAGTCAAGCAGTTGCAGGGAGCCAATTAGTAGAAGCAAACCAAGCAGTACTAGCAGGGAGCCAATCAGTAGCAACAAGCGAAGCAATCCCAGGAGGGAGCCAAGCAGTAACAACAAGCCAATCACCTGCATGAAGGTCTTGCTTTGAACAACTTCAAGCTTCAACCACTAGAGCAACTTCAAATACTGTAAATTCAACTAAAGCCTTTTTCATTCATAATCGAAGGGAAAAACTGCCATTTAGGAAGAGTAAATCAAAAAGCAGCCATGTTGTATGATGAGCAACTTTTATTTTTTTGGTACAATGGATATGTGTAACTCTCTTTTTGGGTTTGTAATGAGAGTTAACAGTCATGTTGATATGATGTGCAACTTTGTTTTTTGATACAATGGATATGTGTAAATCTCTTTTTGGGTTTGTAATGATTAGAGGTGTCTTCTTGTGTTGAGAGCAAAAAATGTGATGGTATATGATGCAGTCATTGGCTTGTTTTGTAGTCATTAGTTTGTGATCTTAGGGCCTGTGATCTTATGACTGAATTTCTACTAAGTAACATATTTTCTGTGATCTGAGGGCCTAAAGCTGCTAAATAGCAGTTGGAAAGGCACATGAACAGTCACGTGAATAATGACGTGAACAGTGCCCTTCAAACCAAAACTTCCTACAGACCCACAATTTGGAAAATACTTTTGTTTATAATTTTTGAGATTCTTATAAAATACTTTTTGAGACGTCACATGTTTTCACATTCCAACAATTAAGCATTCCACAAAAGAAAAGCCACATGTTTTCACATTCTAACAATTAAGCATTTCACAAAAGAAAAGTCATATTTATACATAATTAAGAGGGGTGGTTTTGAGGAATCATGAAATAAAATACATTGTGGGGGACAGAGATGTGGATGGAGATTCTATGGATTTTGTTTGTGCTGGGTGTTCTCTGGTTTCAGTGGCCATTCAAGTCGGAGCTGTTGTATCAGATGTATCAGATGCATGGGGAGACTTGGGGTTATCTTCCTTGGGCTTTCTTTTACACTTTTCTTGATGGCCTTTGGATTTCGCTGGTTGCTTTTCCTAATTTCTTCTTCATCTATCTCGCGTTTCATGGTGGGTTCCTGTTGGTTTTTGCCTTGTGTAGGAGATGCTTTTATGGAGGGTTGTTGGCGATTTTCATGCATGATATTCTCTATATCATGCTTTTGGCTTGGGGAGATGTTTCTGGCTTATGCTTTTATTAGACCTGATGCTTTGGTTCCCGAAACAAAATTTTTGGTTTATTTTGTACAGTTACTGTTTTGGCTATTAAATAGTTCCACTTTTTGATTAATCGGATAAGAATACCACACTTGATTGAAAAAGGAAGGTGAAGACAAAATTTTTCCACAAAAAATCGGGTTGGAAGACGAAAGCGTAGGCCAGGGTGAACACCCCTACTGGTATGATTCCGGAGAAAAATAGTTCATGAATTGTGAATCAAACGTTAAGGTTTCATAGAATCAAACAAAAAAAAGGTTAGGGTTTCACAGCTCACCATGGAAGCTCTTGGAGGTCTACAAAGATCATCACACTCTAACACCACCAACTCTACTGAAGAAGAAGACGTCTATACACTTGTACTATTCCTCTTAGCTTCCCATTAAATGTGATCACTTAAATATGACCCCCCCCCCCCCCCCCCCCCCCGGTTCAATCATTGTTCATTTCATTTATTTAGTGTGATATTGCTTGTCTATGATTATTGAGAAAACAGGACAAAACACAGAGATCAAACAAAAAAATTCAATCTTTTTTGGTAAAGAGAAAATCAAGCAGTTGGGTTATTGTGTTAGCTTCCCATAGTGTGTAATTGGGTTATTGTGTTAGCTTCCCATAGTGTGTAACTACCTTTCTTTATGTAGCAATTGTTGATTCATTCTTGTGAGAGAACAACACAAAGTGCAGAGATCAAATAAAATTTCCTTCTTTTTTTTTTTCGAAAAACAATAAGGGAGATTCAATCAATTGGGTTATTGTTATGGGTTCAGTTGATATTAAAGAATTGCAGAATTTATTTATTTTTGTAAATCGGTAAGTTGTTAACAGTAGTGTTGTTGTAATTGATTACTCAGTCTTGTGAGAGAACAACACAGAGCAGAGTTCTTTTTGTTTTTTTCATGTTGTCAATAAAGAGAAAGTTAATCAGTTGGGCTATTAGTCGATGTTAAAGAACTGCAGGAACTTTTGTTCTTTAAGTTGTTTGCAGTTGTGTAGGGCTATTGCTTCGCGTGATGGTAAAGTGTGGGGATAACATAAAGACTGAATACTACTGAGGGCAGATACTTTGTTGTTTTGTACTTCATTCACCTCTCCCATCACCAGGGCATTTCAATGGCATACACCACTTGTGCAGTTGACTAATGCCTCATTGATCCCATTTTTTTTTTTATATGAATGATAAGTATTTTTTTTTTTTTGGGTATTAATGATTACACAAAAATAGACTATTAGTGATAATGTATATGAATTTATGTATTATCTAAATTCAGCTCACAAGATAAAAAATATTACTCTTCATGTGATGTTGTCTTTATAAACACATTCCATTTGAAGACTGAGATTTGTCAATGGTTGATCAATCTTTCGTTACTTCTCAAATACTACATTTTCATTTCCTCTGTAAGGTGGGTTTTTAATTATGATTCAATTTCAAATTGTTTTGTTTCTGGATCTCATTAGCCTGGCTGGATGATATCTATTGCCCAAGGACTAAGGAGGCAACATCTCTAAACGAGGATTTTTTGTATTTAAATATTGCTATGGATAATACTTATTAACTTTCTAGATATTAAAATATTATTACTTAAAATTCATTCCTCTTGTTTTTTGAGATGCGAAATAACAAATTAAGTTTTTATATTCAAATATTGCTCTTCAATTTCTTCATATCACTTACCAAAAAAAAATTCATTCATATCCAAATGCATGCATTGCTTTATATTGAAGTTTTTTCAAAATTAAAGGTGAAAAAAGACCTAGTTAAGATTGATAATGTCAAAAGAAAGTCCAAGTGGATTAGCTATCTCAAAAAGCGAGAAGATTGGATTTGATGTGAGAAATTTTTAAAATTTAGGAAGTTAGTAAACAATATTTGCACAAACATTTAAATATAAGAAAATCTCATTTAAAGTTGTCTTCTTAGGCCTCAAATTTCATTAAGCGTTGCCCATCAAGCCGGAAACCAAGCTTGGTAATACCCTCTCTCACTAGTGATTGTCTAAAAGCCTTTGTCGCTGCACCCACCCATGATGTGATTTGAACTAGCGTCCATTTTTTAGTAGCTTCGGCTTTATGTCTAGGCCAAAACATCAATTACTCATAGAACTTGTTGTATTTAAAGTTCCGGCTCGTTACCCAAAAAAAAAAGACTTATGAATATTTTTCTCTCATTCCATGTTTTTTTAGGCAGCTAAAAGAAATAGTGCCTTTGGGTAGTAGTTATGGGTGCATCATATGTGTTTTTACTTGCTTCTTAGATAGCCGAATAATAGATTCTGGGCTTTTTCGATGGGAGACTTGGTTTGGATTTTATAGTTCTTATTCAAAGGTATATGTAGATATTTTACAGTGAAATGAAACAGTTTGCACTCATTTTATTTTCTTTGGCTGCTGGAAAGTTCAGGAAAATAAAAACCATCAGTATGTTCTAATTTTTAAATATCATAACAAGAAGTTATGGAACACTGGTAGTTATTTGTCTAGAATAGCACAACTTTAAACCTTCACCGAAAATCTTAGAATAGGATGGTCGGTCTGAAGATTGTATGGATGGTTTGCAAGTCGGGAAGTTCCTTGTTGGATGTTGACAGTCCACGTTGCCTGTAACTGTTCCTTGGAATTTTATCAGCATATCTAAGTATAATCAGTCTTTGTGACTAAATTAATTATACGATATTGTAACATTACATATATATCTCAGGGTTATTTGTTAATTTGTCAGAGTTGTGTGGAGCAAATCAGGGTTGTCTTATTGGTCCCAATCTTGAAAATCATCAAAACTGTGGCCTTAAA